GCTAAGTAATGAAGTGTAAAAGAAAGTAAGAAGGTGGACGGCTGATGTAGCACGTCGCTTAAATCTTCAAGGGCCCTGAAATGCTATGAAGAGAAAGACAATTGGCTCATAAAAATCCCTGGTAATCAGTGATAAAAACAGAATACTGCCTCACCACGCTTACAAAGACGGCCTACACATTTCTGAGAGCATTATTCATCCCGGCATGTGATATCATAAAACACTGTTCCTCGTAGACGGGCCAGGCTATAAAACTCAATCATCACAACAGTGTTAGACATTGTTCTGGCATACCAGAAAATTCCCCGACCCAGGAAGCGGCTCTCTCTGCCTGATTGTTATGGTGTTTACTCACACAAGAGGGTTACCCCGAGGCGAGCTCCTCACCTCCGCAGCCCAGCTGGAGGAGTCCCGGCCTCCAGGAGGAGCGCTCTGTCCTCCCCTGCTGGCCAGACGCTGTCGGCAGGCCAGAGCTCCTGGGAAGCAGCACATCAGACAGCAAAGAGAGCATCAGACAGCAAGTTATCCATCATGTACAACACACACATGAAAGGCTCATTTAGAAAAAAAAAGCTCTGAATCTTGTAATTTGTGAAGCAACATAACGGTCTGCATACCGTCACTGGTCCCTGACAGCAACACTATTTATCACTAAAACACATCATCACTGCTTTTACAGCTCAGACGCCTCTAATTCTGTTTAATCATTTCTATTCATTTTTCTCAAACTACACTTTAATTTTTTTAAAGTTTTCTTTTGTGTGTGTTTTACTCTCAAACTATTTTATTTTTAAATGAGAGAAAAGCTCAGTGTTAAACAAGTGTAAAGATTTATATCATCCATGAAAAGACCAGCGCGTGCTTTTTATCTTCCCATCTTTTTAGTGCATTTAGAGGCATGTGAGTCCCAGAAATCATGAGAACAACATGTTGATCAGCGCCGCGGTTTTTAAATGGTGGATCACTGAACAAAAGCACGACTGTAGAAATCTCATCACACGTCCTACTTTTCATAAAAACGCTCCTGTGTGATGCAATAAAAATGCTCCATGTGGCACAGCAAATACATAAATTCTGCTTTCTTTGGTTTATTATTTGTTATCTGAAGCATTTATCTGTAATTATTTCTGTGACCTGCGTCAGACCAGTGTGTGACAAACAGATGTAACCAGGAAACAGCTTCCATCACAGAAACACAGCGTATAAACACACACACCAACAGCTCCTGACTTTAGAGGTGAACCAGAAACACACAATCACCTGGTCCCTCGTTTTCAGGTCTCTTTACTGTATGTAAAGCTGCTTTTTGCTCTTTAAACAAGACAAGCTGCTGTGATGTGATGTGAGCACCTCATCAAGTCGTGTAAAGTAAAGCCAACCACATAATCCACATGTGGAGATAATAACTGCTGATAAAGTACATTTAAAATGGGCTTAAAATGCTGGTTAGAAATTGATTGAACATTTCAAAACCAATTGTCTTCAGTCCATCTGTAGTACTTAGTGGAGACAAAACCAAGATGTCTGACATCAGCGGAGCTTCATGGCCATGAGAACACTGCCCCTCTGAGCATGAACGTCTGCATTACACGTCCTCCTGTAGGCCAAACAGGTCTCCATTTAACTTCAGTGAGATAATACGCATCGTCTATGAATTCCAACATCTTCTTTATTATCTAATTATAATAATTATTATTTATGAGTTGTTTTGTTTTATCATGTATTGATAAAACAAATAAATCAACCATTTATGCATAACAGGAGTTTCTAACTACTCATGACAGCTTTACAGACTGTTTCACAGAAAATCAGTGGAGGAGACGCACAAGAAGGGAAACAATACAAAACCAACTACATGTGAATAATACTGTCTCCAGAACTGAATCCACCTGTAGGGAAATAATATCTTGTTTGTACAGCAGGATCCACAAGGACTCTGGATGTAAGAACTAACTGGGATGTGGAGGTGAACACCATCACTGAACATGAGGAGTGGGATCATAAATGCCGAAGCAAGCCGACCGAGAACATGTGGCTAGAAGTTGAGAATGAGATTTACTTGAAAACTATCAGTAATATCTAACTAGGAGAATAAATCTAATCATCAATGATGTGGTTTATTATCAGAGCCCTTCTTTGCTCGTTAAGTGATTACAGTAAACAGGCCTCAGCTCCGCCCACAAACCTTGAACCCATGAACCACTGCATTTATTCATCTCCACATCTGAGGCGTATATGAGAACACTGTGTGTAAAAGAAAAAGAACATCTCGTACCATCTTCTTAATCATCATCCTTATTGTCAAAAAGTTCATTAGGAAATTCTAACTATTTTTTAGTACACTTGAAGGAGGAAATTTGTACAATCAGTCGCAGAAATGCGTCGTGCATCGTTTACCTTTATGTGAATGACCCACAGAGTTAGAACTGTTTTAACTCCAAGTTTGAATAAACTGTCAGTAACAATATCCATCCATCATCTCTACACCTTCATCCTCACTAGGGTCCTGGGGGGCGGAGCCTATCCCAGCTGACTCAGGGTGAAGGCAGGTTCACCTGGACAGGTAACCAGTCTATCACAGGGCTACACTTAGAGACAGACAACCAAGCACACTCACATTCACACCTACGGACAATTTACAATCACCAATTAACCTCAGCATGTTTCTGGACTGTGGGAGGATGCCGGAGAGGAACAACATGTGACACATTAACATGTTTTAGTGTTCTCAGCACTTTGTAGTCGTGGCTTCACAGGGACCTTATCAAAGCCCATTGATGCTGTTTTATGTCTTCACTTTCAGGAGATATCATCTGTGTATCTGTTTCCCTAACAGTAATATCTAACTAGGAGAATAAATCTAATCATGTTTGTTGGAGAGGATGTGGTTTATTATAACACAATATCAGAGCTCTTCTGTTATTTGCTCGTAAAATAATTACAACAAACTGGCCTCATGAACCTTGAACCCATGAGCTTGTATTATATTTCTTAGTCTCCACATCTGGGCCGTATATGACAGCAATGCATACACAAGACAAACATCTCGTGCCATCTTCTTCATCACACTCACTGTCAAAAAGTTCATTAGGAAATTAAAACTATTTTTTAGTATACTTGAGGTAGGGAATTTGTACCATCAGTCGCAGCAATGGCGACGTGCAGCGTGTGACTTTATGTGATTGACCCACAGAGTTATAACTCTGCTAGATTTGTACACTCAGTGATACACCAGCGGTCCAAGTCTGAATTAACGGCACACTGTCAGTAACAACACGTGACATGTTCTGGTGTCTACAACACTGTGTAGTCATGGCTTCACAGGGACCTTATCAAAGCTCATTGATGCTGTTTTATGTCTTCACTTTCAGGAGATATCATCTGTGTATCTGTTTCCCTACACAATAAAACCTTTACACAAAATGATGAGTCATAACTACACTTCATACAGCCTCCATTCTGTGCCGTACCTTCAGATCTGTGAGGTGTGTCAACCAGCTAAAGGATAATATTTCATTTGTAAATAATTAAGTACAACTTTAACGTATCATACTTTAGGTGCTGCCATTGTTATGAAACTTCCTAACTTTTTTTACAGTACGCTACAGATTACAATACTGTACTTGGTACTCGACCACATTAATCTGAAAGTAGCACAAAGTACTTTCAATCAGACGGCAGATAAACCGCGTTCACTAATTCCAACAGTAAAATTCAATTCAATTTTATTTGTATAGCACATATTTACAACAACAAGTCATCTCATAGCGCTTAACAACGGCAGAAACAATCCAAAATATTTGGATTCCCTGTAAGTTTCATACGTCTGCAACAGCGGGAAGGAACCGAGAACCCCGCGGGGGACAAAAAACCTCCAACAGAACCAGGCTCAGGGAGGGACGGCCATCTGCCTGGACCGGTTGCACGGCGTTGTCATTATACAACACAGGACTGTAAAACGAATTATATCCACGTCCTCACACGATGGGACTTTACAGCTTTTACACAGTGTCTAGTAATAAAAGAACATAAAGCCTGACGAGACTTTTGATTGTGTCTAATAAATACATAAATAGTAGTTGTTCATTAGTGCTACTTACTACGACACTTTTATACTTTTGATTTCTATATTTATTCTTGTCTTGTTATTGTGCGTATCAGCCTCATTCACCACGGCAAAGTCCTTGTGTGTGCCAGCTCACTTGGTAGTAGAAAGCTTCTGGTTCTGGTTCTGGTTCTGAAACGCAGTCTACGGCTGCATGGACAGCTGCTGCTTCACTTCAGTGCACTTGTGACATCCTGTACTTTGGGTATTACCATTGTTGTTTCACTATATTGCCATAAGGGAAATGTACTTTATACTCTACCACATTAACAGAACCTCTCTACGTTGTTGCTGTGTGCATTAAAATGGCTTCAACCAACAAACATCCATCCATCCATCATCTATACACCGCTTAGTCCACACTGGGGTCGCAGGGGGGCTGGAGCCTATCAACTAACAAATATTTTCATTAAAAAGAACTATTAACATGCATTTAGTAGATAATCAGTTATCATAATAGTTGACAGTTGATATTTTTTTGGATTAACTGCTGGACTGATTGTAGCTGTAGCACTCAGCTCATCTGTAATAACACAGGATCAGGATCAGCTGTGTCCTCTGTAAGCACCACAGGACTGCTCAGAGACATGAAGCTGCCTCTGTGCTTCAACGGAGACGAATGACATCTTAAATCTGATTAAGAAACAACAGTGGAAGAAATAAAGAAGGAAAACTGAGTTAAATGAACAAACAGCTTTGCTCCTGAACAGCTGTAACGGTTAAAGATGTTGCTGATATTTCTGCACTTCCAGTTTCCTAAACCTTAAAAGCAGGATTTTATAGTGAATAACTGCAGCTGTAGTAATACTTTCCTGATAACACAGGACTGTACATCAGACAGGGGGCGGTTATATTCCAGTCCTATCATGAGGCTGCATTAGGTCAGATGACTGTCATTAAGTATACATGACTAAGCATTTCTGTAAGGTTCGTTAAAGCCAGAATTCTTTTATTCGCTGCCTGAGAGCCACCAGACCAGACTGACCGTCAGACCAGCTTTGGTAAGTTCCTGTTTTCATGTGCGGGTTTGCAGATACATGTGGCTTCACTTGCTGGATCAAACCACTTTTCTCTTCCTCTGGGATTATCTCTTAGGGCGAATCAAGCGCGCGTTTTCACGCTTTTCCGTGCGAGTGGCCTCTATTGTTCCCGCTGCGTTACAGTTTCCTCGTAGTATCGCTGCTAAACACAAAGCCAGTCACATGATAGCAGCAGAGGGCCTCACGGCGCGGACATGCACCACAAAGTCCGTCCTGGCTGGCAGCGTCTCTGTCGTCCGCCTGATCGCGGCGCCTTTGCTCGGAGCATTACGGTACCGCGCGGCGCTAACGCGGAAGAGCTTCAGCTGCGATCACTAATCGTGCGATATTAGTTGTCGCTGCAGTTATGTCTTATCGAAACGTTTCCAGAGAGGCCCTGGTTGGCACCGTCACGCTGGGGGTGGTTTTTGTCGCCGGCTACTTGCTTGGTAAGAGCGGACACGTCCGAGGAGGTGAACTGTGTGTTTTGGGCTTTAGAGCGTCGCTGCTGCGCCTCAGCAGCCCGTCAGCAGAGAGCCGGTGGAGGAGACTGGAGGTGCAAAAACAGTCCAAGGACTCCTGTTAGTTTAGTCTAGATGTGGAGGTTTTGTCCTGATCATGTCCTGCACTGAGGAGGAAAACGTGTGAAACCGTTTGTATTTTGACTCTTTTTTTTTTTTTTTTTTTTTACAAATATATATATATAATATAAATATAACAAAAGTTTAAAAGTAAAACAGGCTTAAAACTACATCAGAACTAAACAGAACATGAACCCAGGTTTGCATGGTTTGGGCTCATTTGTTCTGGATAGGAGTCGTACAAGTTTTCACAAATGAGAAAGAGAAATCAGACTTTTAGGTTTTTTTCTTGTAGCTTACTTTGAGAACAGAGAATCACAAAAACCTGCACATCCATGTCGGCTTGAACAGGTCATCGATTTTAAATCAAATCTGAAGCAATGCAGTTTGCAAATCGCAGCGAGTGCAGGTTAAGATTTAAGTCCTGCAGTGAGTTTGGTCTGAAGCGGTCGGTCACTGATTTTACCGTCCAGTGTGCCAGCCGTCCTTCTGATGGTATCTCATGTAGTAACAGTAGTTTCACATCCATCACACAGTAAATACTCCCCTGAAGCTTGATTTTAAAATCCACTTCACACAAGGGTTGACCGCCAACTGGTCGTATTTTTTAAAGGCAGATTCCTACTTGGACACAAAACTGAAACTGAACTATTAATTTCAAATCAAAGGTGCGATCTGAGACAGTGCGATTAGCAAACTGAAGCACGTTTGATCCAGAGTTTAAACTGTTGTGTCTGTCATTTTACAAATACCTCCTCGTGTGAGTCACGCTTCTGATGGCGACTGATCGAGTAACGCTCCACCACATTATATTACAAATGAGACTGTGATTAGGTATTTTCCTTAAATCATTCGGTCCTACATCCAGTGATCAGTTCTATGTGTGTGACATCATCTAAGAAAAATACCATATAAATGCAATTAAGCAGCAATTTGCTAAATGTGGCTGAACGAGGGATGACAGGAAGAAATCCTGCACCCGGTGATTTAAACATTTCTAGGAATATCACATCGTACACCGGTTAAGCATTACCAGAGTATTACATGCACAGAAAAGCATAATGTATCAGCATTATTCATGAAAAGTTGGATTCATAAAAGCACACCTGATCATGTCAGCACTGCTTTAAACAGACTGTATTATGTAATGCATGGAGTTCATGTATCGGCCCAGACTGTGACTCAGGCACAGCCTCCCAGTACAAAGTCCTCCACTTATTAACTTTACATAATGTTTATTAAAAGGAACAAGCACTAGTGTACCTACAGGGAGCATAAGGACATGGACGTCCCATCATATTATCCCAGAAATGTCGAGCTATACGACCACCACAACATTAAAACCACCTCTGTGGCGTGCAGCAGTGTTTAGGTGTGTGGTGGTGTCACAGTACCATCCACATGAATGCCAGGACCCGAGGTTTCCCAGCAGAACCCTGCACTTAACGAACGTGAATGTTGTGGCTGATCGGTGTATATTGCATTACAACTCCCAGCATTCGTTTCTTTATCTGAATCTGTGGCTTCGGCTGCACTAATCCCATTTTCCCACTGAGATCATTTAAGTGTGATCAGATCTGAATCAGATAACTACTACACATCGACTACATCCGACTTCTGTTTCCTGAGAAACGTATACGCCGGCTGGTGGGTCCCCCTGACATCATCGTGCTTTTAAGATCTTTCTAATCGTTTCATGGTTGATGTTTGCCCACAGGGAGAAGGAGAGTGCCCAGGATGAGCATCTTGAAAAGCCACTGCGGAGGACAGGAGGACCCGCTGATGAAGTATGTTCTCGATCACTCCATGAGGGAGCATCCGGTCCTGCAGAAGCTCAGACTGGTGAGGAGGCCTCAGCGTCTGTGCTCTGGTGCAATTAGGCACTCCATGTCGTAACATCAAATCAGGTTTTACGGCACAATACGTGAAATTTATGCAACTGGTTTCTGCTCTTTGTTCTCAGAGGACAATGGAGGACTCCTGGAACGTGATGATGGTTGCCTGTGAGCAGTCGCAGTTCATGGCCAATTTGGCCAAACTAATCAAAGCCAAGAAGGCAATCGAGATTGGTAAGAGCGTTTAACATCACGTCCGGTTGGTTCAGACATCAAGCACCTTTCAATGTGTACAAGAAACCAGGTCACAAGGAGAAACTCCACCTGCATTTACTGGAGTAACTTGATTACTTTACCATCAAGAAACGATGGCCTACGTCTGTAATACGTGCATTATTATTATTTTTTTTTAATATTTTTTAGTGCTTCTTTTCTGGTGGAGCATTTCCACTGACAGCCATACGACAGCCTCTGTAGTCGGCACGTTTTTTCCTCAGTACAGATTTTATCGGTACATTTCTGAGTAAAATTTTAACTGAATGGTCAGTAGTGGAACCGGACCTACAAAAAGAGAGGCCACCTGGTTTCAGTAAAACTTTGTAAGGGGTCTTGTTCATTCATTTCTTTGCTTCTTCCCTGTTTATCAACATGCATTTGATCTGTTAAGCATCTTCCTTCTTTTCCTACATTCATTTAAACAGACTCAGGTTCTGATGATGTACCCACACACTACAGACGGTTACGGTCTGATAATGAAGTGTTTCATCAGGAATCTTCTTAGTTTTATAAGCTGCATGGGAAGATGTGTGATTTTATTATTATTAAGGGCAAACTTGAACATGGAATCAACTTATCTTGAAGATGAGAATGGATCCCTACTTTTAATAATCTCCTTTCATCCCACTGCCAACCCCCACCGTCCGGCACATGAAAAAAGCTGATTGGTAACCTGCTGACATGGACAGTAAATGCAGTCATATTCTATCCTGGAGAAAGCTGCTGAAACCAAAGGACAGAGGGAACTACAGCAAAGGGATCTGAGGCACATTTATGAATTAGTGCTATGTAAATAAAACTAACGTAGCTTTCTCTAATGCCCTACCACAAGGGTTTCACATGAATAATGTTAGATATTACTGGACAAAGCGGACGGTGTATGTATTAAGCTAAATGCATGTGCCACAAACACACTGACTGCACCACCACAAGGTGATTTGGTGTTACTGTCACTGAATGTTGGTGTTTTGCTCTTTCTACTGCCCATCTGGCCACACATTTGATCAAAACTAAACATTTTTACTGGACCTTCAGTAGTATTGTTTGCTGATGGTCTGATTATGAGGCGTTTAGGGGGCATCTGTAAAGTGTAGCTTCACCACCCTGCACACAAGTAAACCTCAACCTATGGGAAACAGAGATTTGATAAAACGGTCGACATTATGCAGTGAATTTATTGCAAAGACTAGCTTTGGCTAGGGGAGCAGTGTTTTTGCTGTCGGAGCACTGGCAGTCCAAAGAATGAGTTTGGTGGTGTGGCAGGTTGGGGGTTCAACACAGCAGCCCCCGGCCTGCAGAGTTTCAGCATCAGGCAGCACAAACCCAAGCAGAAATCCTCCTAACATGTACCACCGGTTATAACATCACCAAGACTGTTTACTAACAGGGAACACTTAAAAACACTACATTAAAAAGTTGTACTGTGTAAAAAAAAGTCCACCTGGATCCAGGTAATGCTGACCTGAGTGCCTTCTTGTTGCATTGGCAGGAGTGTACACAGGCTACAACACGCTGAACATTGCGTTGGCGTTGCCTGAGGATGGCGTGGTGGTGGCGTGTGACATCAGTGAAGAGTACGTCAACATCGGCAAACCCTTCTGGAAAGAGGTATTGAATTAATTAACATCCGCACTTCATTACATGTAGAAACAGGACATAGAACACTGTGGGTTCAACTGTGATGTATAATAATGTGATATTATTCCCACATTGTGAAGTGCTGATCAGTGCAGAGGATGATCAGACACCACAGGTAACAGACATGCTGCAGCTCTGTTTGACATCTTTGCATCTGCATGTGGCGCAGACTTCAAAGTCTGTTGGTCTTTTGTGTGATAAAAGACTACTGTGCCAGTCTGTCAGAGGAATCAGCACACTGAAACGCCCACATGTTTTCATAGTCCTGTCTGAATATTTATTTATTGACAGAAAATGAATCAGTAAGAATTTTAATGATGGATTAATCGTTGAAGTCATTTATCAAACAGAACTAGAATCATTTGCTGACTCCTGTCTCTCAGATGTCTGCTGGGAGTTCTTCTTCGACTCTCAAAACTTTTGATGAGCATTATTTACTACATTGTGACACAAGCTATTGATTGATCAGGCAAATTATCGGCCCTATGCAAGTATGGTTCTTCAATATTCCTATAAAATTCAAGCAAAAGATTCATCATTGGAAATTATTTAAACAATTCTTTCAGTACCTAGTTTTGTGATGTGCCGGTGTATTCTTGTTTGTCACCGTCAGTAACTGCAGATTTCTGCCTTCTTTGCAAGCACACAGCGTTTTGAATCTCCTCTCCAGCCGGCTGTTTGCAGGCTGGTATCACTGGGTCTCATTTTGATTCATCATAATCCAGAAAACAAACAGAACTGGGTTATTGCACACATCCTGTGCACATAACTGAGTCAAATGCATGCACGTCATGCATGAAAATACATCCACAAAATATATTCTCATCTGTTATCAGACAACATATCTGCTGCTTTATCTCCTAAAAACATTCTCATTTCTTTCTGTTTACAGGCCGGAGTCGAGAAAAAAATTGATCTGCGCCTTCAGCCAGCACTGAAAACCCTTGGTAAAGCTATAAATCACTTTATTTACTTCACTTATGGTTGTAAATGTATACTAGGGATGTATGATTTCCTGACGCAAATGTCACTAATTTCCCTAAAATAATAATCTCGGTTTGAGTTAGGGTATTTTACATTCATACCTGCTCTAATGTCTTCAGGGCTCTTGCTGTCATTACTATCGCTGACATGCTTGGGACAGGTTATACCCTGTTATACGTACAACATGCTGCAGACGCGATTTATCGTAACTCAGAGGTCACAGAGTTCAGTAGAACGGGACATTCCTGAAGTACAGGTCAACTGAATTAACTTCTTGAAGTTCTGAAGTTCTTTAAATCTTTCACCATGTCTTATTTCATAAAGTCAATCCTACTCTTAAGTGTTAAACGAATGGGTTAATTACATTTATAAAGTATCATGTGGTAGGTTTATCCTTTAAAGGGGCACGAAGGTAAGATTTGTCCAGCATCTCCCTCTAACAGGTTAAACCTACTGGATTCTTCTGACCGTATCACAGACTCTGAAGTCTACGTTCCACACATTGACCGAGGCACTTCTTAAGGCTTGAACCGTTCATTATTAGGGCCTGAGGTCTCTGTCACTGACCCCATTACACAACACATACTCAGGCATGTTCTAAGCTTCAAGCAGTGGTCAGCTTTAACCGGAGCACAGAGAGGCGTTTGTTTCTCTGAACATGAGTAAACACATCAGTGGTTGATAACGAATAGATGATTAACATAGAAATAAATAATAACCTGTGAGCTTACAGCCACATGTTCACATTTTAAACAGTAGAGATACTGCAGTAGGTTAAACTACAGACGTAGGGTGAAGGTAATGTGATCCACATTTACATTAAAAGTAGGATTATTTAGGCCCCAGAACTGCAGCTATGTGTACGGTGGTGGACACTACATGGATCAGTAGGGTGTGCGATAGTTTCACCTGGTTAGCTGCAAAATCACATGAAAGCACATGACAAAAACACAAAGTCTGATTGCATGACCAGATCTGACATTTGCCCCCTCTGTGGCTGATAACAGACCATCATAGCCCCTGATCATGGAGCCCCACACCCTCCGGTCTTCCAAGGCATGCCGGCACCTGGGCCTTTCGTCACCTCTGTTTGCATCTATGCAGGGGAGCGAGACAGGCTTCACCCCGAATAAAATAAAACCACGACCACATGTCCCTCACCGCCTCCCCCTCAGCAATGCACAGTCTGCGCTCAGGGCTGACGTACTCTACAGCAGGGTGCACATGTTTGTTTTTCATTTCATTGTTGTGTCATCATTGGATAATTTACCTGTGCACTTTGACCAACAGGCTGAAGTAGTCAAGCTCAATGTAAGATGGCTAAAGTCTAAATTTAACCCATTGTACTCTTGGTCTTTGTCAAAAAAAGGTGCAGCAAAGTGATCTGAACTGCTACAACATACACCCTGCATCCTGTCCCAGTGGAACGAACGCCCTGGCGGTTAATGACACTGTTGTCATTTTTCTTTATGAGAAACAAAGATGGCGCTCTTCAGGGCAGACATTTTTAACCTGTCAGGTGGAGTTAATGATGCCTCTGTCACATTAAACGGCCTTTTGTGGACATGACAGTGAACTGAAAAAAAAAACAGCAGGACCTCCACTTGAAACATTGTGAAGAGCGTTCAGTCGTGTCCAGTTTAGCACGCGGCTAAGCTAACTGACAGCAACAAACCGGAACCAGCGCACCTGGATGTTAGCTAACAACAGAAGCTAACGGCTACATAAGTTTCGGTACCTTGACTCCACTTGTCCCGCCGAAGACATCCACTAGCGTCTCTTCTCGTTGTCCTTCATGGTCGTCAAAAAGTTCAGTGTGAAAATGTTTCGGCATTTAAAATAAAAAAGCGGTGTTTTTGTATTTTAGCTCTTTGAAGTTTGGTGTCCATTTAAATCCCGCGCTGAGCGGCGACGTGACCGAGCGGGGCCGAAGGGCGGTGACGGAAACTGCCGAAGTGGACACTGGGGTCACGTGGGCTTCACCTGCCGTTTTTAGTTAATTTTTATTTTATTGCTTTATTATCATGTATTATCCAGTATATTCACTATGATTTTATTTAGGTAGCAAAACAAAAAGGTCATAAAACTCATTGTATTTGCTTAAAACTATGACAACGTTTAGTGATGACTTTAGAAAATTAGTTTTAGCTGGAAAGTGACTCACGACATTTTATTTCTCTGCTGAAAGAGAAATAATTTTTTGGCTGTCTTCATTTTTTTTTGTTTGTTACAGGACTGAGAACTTTAGACAGTTTTATTTGCTCTGTTAGAAATCGGAGGTCTTTCCATGTTGGTTTCTTATCCAGCAGGTGGATCCTGTTGGCTGCCAGTAGACAGACGCTGGATGATATTTACAACATAGTCTGATGAAGATGTTAAACAGACCTAACTTATCATTCTGTTTTCTTTCCTTCAGATGAGCTCATGTCTTCTGGCCAGTCTGAAACATTCGACTTTGTCTTCATTGACGCGGACAAACTTAACTACGAAAACTATTACGAGAAGTGTCTGCTGCTGCTGAGGAAAGGAGGCCTCATCGCAATCGACAACGTAAGAGATTCAACAGAGACAAATGTCAATGTCAGTTCTCGCAACAATTCCTCTGAACAGCTGTGTTGGTGCTGCTGCAGGTGCTGTGGAGTGGAAAAGTGGTGAATCCGCCTCCAGACGACGTAGACGCTGTGGCCATTGACAAGCTGAACAAGAAGTTGCTTAAAGACACTCGGATCACCCTGAGCATGCTCACAGTGGGAGACGGCCTCACCCTGGCCATGAAGTTATAGGAGACCGTGTGAAAGCTGCCAACACGTATGGGCTTTGTGAGGCAACACTGGGATACTGCGTATTGTTTTATAGTTAGCTGAAACACTAGAGGGAAGATGTGACTGTAGCTAACACCTGCATCGTACTACCTGGGCTCATGTTACAGCCTGTTTCTGTGATTTAACAACAGCATAGTTTTATGTCATTCAATACAATTGCAATAACTAAACTACAGCTCATTTTGCAGTCAGAACACAGCATTCGAACAATTCAGAAAAGGCATTTGATTAAAAAAATTATAAACTGCACATGCTATGTTGTGTTTGTAATTCTTTGCTGCCCTCATACTATGCTGCCCAATGCTTCGTAATCACACTACAGGAGAGAATAAAGGTTGATTTCAGGACTTTATTGTAAAGGTAGACACACAGCAACACACAAACTGCTCCCTGATTAGTGTCACAGTCGTCGTATGGGAATAAAGGGGGGTGATTCACTCAGTCTTTCACTCAAGTCACAATGAGGAGAATAAAATGCATTTAGCATAGTCTCGCAACTTAGAAGCGGATATTCAAGGTAGCAGAGGTCTAAAACTCATCACACTGCATAATTAAGCCTCTCTAGGAAAATCAGTGAGGAGAGCCAAGAGACTGGCTTCCTTTTTAATAGCATATTTTGTTGGAGTAAACCCTCCAACAGGCAGCACAACACTACCAAGATACAAATAAAATGTGCAAATAAAACAAAGGAGGAAGAGCATAAATAAAGGTATATTCTACTGTGCAAAATAACGTCTCAGATTTACATTCTACACCATCACACTTCAGCAAAGTAACAAGGTTCTGCTTCTGGAACCGCTCCTGGATTGTCAAACTCAAGAGCCAACCTTCAACACCAAGCAGAGGGTTTTTCTATCATTACCATGTCGAGGATAAATTGGCAGAAGGAGTAACTGATTAATAAATACGTGTGACTGAAACATGACTACTTATTGCAACCACAATGAAAGGAGGTTTTCCATCTCGTCGGTGCCTGTGAACGGGGATTCTTCTTGGTTTTGGCTTCATCGGTACACATCTGCTGTTGACCACACAGGAACGCTCAGGGCCAGATTCTGCCGCTATTCTTCCTCTTCTCATGAAACGGCAGAGAGGATCCTCATGCCTCCAGTTCCAGGCCTAGACCTAGTTTGTGCCCACCGGCATTGATATTCTTCCCGTCCACTAGTGCTGACAGGATGAGCTTCATACCTGAAATGTAGTTTTCAGTTGCTGAACAGAGCTCCATGATGTTTGCAGGTGTTTTAAAGTGTGTGTTATGAGACAGATGGTCCTTACCAGGCCGCAGAGTCTGGGTGTATCCGATTCCTACCAAGCTGGCATTATTCACCTTTGCCTGTAGAAATACCATTAAATCTTTAAAGCAGGATTCAGAACGCGGCTTCAACAAAGCAGCAGCAGGTTATTTAAATACAAGCAGTAGTTCCTGAGAAAAACACACATGGGAATGTTCACACACGTCCTATCAAAATGTTCTTGGACAAACACTGATCACTTGGTCCTTGGGCACTTACTGATATGGAGGCACTGGAGTCTAACTGGTACTTAGCAGCGATTCCAAAGCGAGTGCCGTTGCTGCCTGCTGTCCAGGCAAGGTTCACAGCAGTCTCCAGCTGGTCGTTCACCTTCTGATAAATGGATCCCCCAAACTCTGCACCATCATTTCTGATTTTAACAGAAGAAAAAGGGGGGACGCACACCATCATTTCCATGTGAATAATCTTAAAACAGCTTCACATGAAAACAAAAAACTGAACATGTGAAAACTTGTGACCAACAGTTTGAGGAGTTCCTTGTTTCTGCTGATTTAGAGCAGCTGTTGAGTTTAAAACCTACACGTTGGTGTGGAGCTGGAAGTCTCCAGTCTTGTAACCAACTGCAAAGTTGCTCTGGGTCATCTTGGATTTGGCTGAGTCGAAGGTCATCTGGTAGCCGGCCAGCCATCCCTCATAGCCGGCCACTGCAGCTCCATGGATAGTAGGACCAGCAAAGTCTAGATCTACATCAACACCCACGTTCAGGTATTCCCTCTTATAAGCCGCCTTGACCTTGCCACTCTTCTTGCTTTGAATTAAAGGAAAAAGAAGAAAATGAAAAATAAGAAGATATAAAGTTTGTCATGAATTTCTAATGAACAAACAACTTACCCAGTGTTTGGTGAAAATGTGGTATCACAGGTGAGCTTCAGTCCTTTTGTAATCTGGAAAAGAAAATCAGTCCCTCAGTATTTAAGCGTGTTTCATTCACGGGACGATCGACAACAAAGCTGGGTTTTCACTTCACCTGATCCTCAACACAGATTTCTGTTCCGAGCGTGTTCTCTGTGGTCCACTTCTCCGTGAACGTCAGCCCATACTCGGCCCATTTGTACTTGGTTTCCAGGGTCCCGGTGACCTTGCTGGTGTCTACGTTGGACGAGCCGGATGTTTTAAATTCCTGAAGTTAATATAAGTGGAAATGAGTCCTAACTATCTGAAAACCATTCAGGGAGCAAAAGTTCATAATAAATCACTTGCCGTTCAAATACATCTATGATTAGAACCTGGTTGATGCTGTGTAGATCTGAGGCCAGTAGCGATCAATAAATAGCTAACATTACTTTTAAAAACATAAGCACACTGCACATACAGATTGCTAAGGCGTTGGTATTAAAGAACTGCGACAGTCGATGTGTACCAAGTTGGATATTGAATAAACTTAAATGTTTTTTGGCATTTAGATGCAACAGCTACTGATCAGCTGACACATACACCAATACCTGCATATCTCTGACAAAAGCAGTAATATGAGCTGATAATAATACTTGCATTGCACCTCTGTGTGATATAAGAACAGCTAAACTCACCACTCCACTTGAAGACTTGGTCTTCACGTCAAGCTTGACCAGCCCAAAACCTGCAAGGACAGTGACAGTGAGAAACTACTTCCTGGGCTTGGAAATGCACTTCCAGCAGCAGGCCTGTCCTCTGCGGGTCAGCAAATACACACTTATAAAACTGCCTTCTATCTTGCTTCCAGTTACCATATCCCTTATTGAAGATGTCCTTTGCTGATTTTCCCAGGTCTGCATATGCTGGAGGAACTGCCATTGTGCCTGTAACAGAAGAGAAAGTGTTAGCGAGTTATAACGGTGATCCAGGACCATAAAATACTTTGACTGGTTTTCAAATAAATCCACTTGTTGATCAGATTAAACCAATCATCTCCACAGACATGGTCATGGAATAATTTATGACCACACATTTACTGAACTATTCCAACATGTTTGAGAAGACCAAGTGGTGTTCGGTCCAACTGCAGATTTACTGTAAACCACAGACCAAGAACAACAGACAGAGTTGGTCTGAAGGTCGGCTGAGCTGAGCCTTGTGCTTCCACTTCTGTATATTGCTCATCCCAGTGCCTCTTCATAAACTATCCAACCATCCTGTGCTGTATGTCCTGTTTTTTGATGGTCAAGTTTGCATAAAAAACACCATCAGATCTTATTGCTATATACAGTTATTTCCAGGAGGACTGAGCCACATATGAACAGCTAACAAACAAAGCAGGTTCATCAGTTTCCAACCTTTGCTTTACATTTTGAGCAATAAGGCTCAGCGGCTCCCAGAACTGCACATGGACCCTGATGTTGTTCTTCAGTCCTCTGAGTATGTGTTATAATCACATTTTAGCACGTTAATACATATATATTAGGCTAATTAAACCTTGGTGAACCAGTGGTTATATGCTGGACTGCATTCCCACACAGCATGTGAGATAACACGTATGTGTACTCTGGTGAAGCCTTTAACAGACTTTCTGCCAGTTTAACTACAACAGGATTATTACAGCTACCACTGAGGGTGTTGGATGCCTGTTTCTGGTTACACAACTTGAGGGAATTTACTATCTGCAGTTTTATAAATGGACAGATGGTGGTATTTTTGTAGGAACTATATTTAGACTCTTCTGTATTAATTAAACAGTCACGTGGGTAAATACTGAAACAGTGACTGTATTAAGCGTAAAAAGAAAAAAAAAACACTCTGGGAAAATTATTTCTAACATCTTCTCTCCAGTGACAGGATGTTGTTAGGTAACCTCTAGACTCCAGTAGTGAGGAGTGAGGCTGTAGGTGGGTCACCAGCAGGTTGGTGTGTGTGTGTAGAGAAGTCACGTCTTCTCATTGTCAAGGTTAAAGTGGAGGCTCAAACACTTCACTGTCTGCCTCCAGGAACAAGACACATGAAGGACGCTGATAATGTGAACACACACCTGACTAAAAAGGTGACGTAATGTACGTGTGTTTCCTGTCATGTTGTTTTATTTTCCTTCACACTACTGATGTAAATCCACAGTGATGTCTAACTACCACAGCAGATATCTGCAGGGTCATTTGAATAAAGTGAATGATGCTGACATGTAACAGACATTGGGGGCTTTTTATTTGCACATTTGTATTTATTTTAATGCAAACATAATGTCCACGACAACAAACATTGCACTGCTGTATTTTCGGAGTTTGAACACACGAGTGTGGTAGGGGGCGTCTTCTAGCTAGCTAGCTAGCTAGCTGGCTAACGGGATGTTCGACACCAGCTTGGTCTGAATTCCAACAAACACGAACAGCATGAACACGTCACGACACGACCCGCTACTCACCGAGGATCACTGCTGCTGGTTCTGTTGCAGGCAACTTGTCAGCTACGACAAGCGAAGGAACCCGGTGTAGGACGATATGGAGGAGAGACGCCGCAACAAACAACCTCCTGACCTCGGCGCCGCAGGACCCGAAAGCATAGCTGTCTAGTTTGCGCCTGATTGAAATCGTAAAGCGACGATAGTGTTCTAACGTTCTGTCAATTAATTAAACTGTTTGTTCTTTGATTTGGTAACGGGTCTTATAAATCTGTTTATTTGCAAAAGGCAGCATTATTGGTCAAATTTGAGCTCTCAGGATACCGGCAAATGAAAGACCTCTAAATCACCATGGTGACCAATACGCAGGTGTAGCTCTTTAAGCTAGCGTTACTGAACTTTTTCTTTTTTTTTCTTTTTTATTCATTAATCTGGACTCCAAAAGGTCAGAAAGTATGGTCTACTTTTAAATGTGGACACTTACCATAATTAATAAAAAATTTAGAATCTTCTCGGCAAATATTCAGATTATTGTTAATATAATTTATTACATGAAGTAGATAAGAAATATATGCTGATTGAAATTATTACAGTGAGAGTTGTGACTATAAATAATATTATTCACAACCATGGATTTCGTGTTTGATGTTTCTGTTCGGTGTGATTTTTATAAACAAAAAAAAACTTTCAAAACTTCTCATCTCTTAAAAAAAACATTGTGGATTAATATTGCTGGATGAGTTCAGATAAATTATAATATTATCCATTTACTTTTAAAAGCTGTATTTGATTTAACCTGATGTGTGTAGGGTTTTTTTTCTCTCTGGGTTTCTACATTATGTTTGTACAGTTGTTTTACATCATACAGTGACTTTGGTTTGTGTCTGTTACTGTTATTCTGTTATTATCCATGTTGGTGAAAAAATAACTTATTCTCTTTTTTAAATGATTGGAGCACATAAGTGTCATTTGATGCAGACTAGATTAAAAACATGCAGTTCTTTACCGCTGCCTCGCTCCTGTCAAAAGTCTACGATTAGTCAGTCTATAATTCTTTAAATAAAGCTTAAACTATGTGGAATTATCCAGTACAAACACAATTACAGTGAAAATGCTTTTGTAGCTCAGTCTGAAATTATAACAATAATAATAATAATAATAATAATAATAATAAAGACCACAGCACATTTTAAAGCTGTTGAGCCAGAGTGTTCTCTTGTAGAGGAATAAGACATTTATTTTGAATTTACCTAATAACTTTAAATATTAGGGAAAGAAAGTACCATTTTATATACAACACAAACTTGCCTAATTTAAATATCAAGGCTAGGACCCTTCAGTAATATCCTCTTTAACAGATTACCTGACTAGTTTAGATCATTGAGGTTATGACTCTAAAGCGAAACGCTGCTCAGACCAAACAACGAATCATTTACTCAAGAAAATAACTGAAAGAATAACTGATAATAAAAAGACCTTCATGTTCATTCACTCTCAGTGATTTGTAACCGGATAAAATGCCCGACAGACGATTAACAGACGATAAGGAAAAACCATCATATGGCTGTGCAGCAAGTGGAAAAAAACAGATCAGAGAAGAGTCTCATTTCAGCTCTTTAATGATGGAAATGACCAACGAGACAAGAAACGAGTAATGTGGCTTTGCAGCAGCATATGAACAACATCCCTCCTCAGTGGAAGAACGCGTCAGACCGACAACTCAGTTCAGAATAATCACGTCTTCAACACGCTGCAACGACCAAATCAATGATCTTCTACTACAATGGCAAGTTTCACTCCATGAAATGCAGAGGACAACCTGAACTCAACTGGACACTTAAATAGCACATTGTGTTTCAAACATAGTTCAAAGCAACTGTAAACATATTTCTCCATGTGCATGTTGCTGTACCTTTGTATATGGAATATAAAAATACCTATTGACATTTATAAAATGAAATAAATTAATATAAACAAATACATACAAATTTACGGGTCTGTTTACTACAGATTAATGTCAAAGGATTAATATGAGGAACAGCTCATGGTACTTGGTCTGGTCATTTACACTGCATGATAACCTTTAAAAAAAAAGTATAATACAGTTATCGGACAGTAAACATGAAAGATTTTGGACATTTCTACACAGAGAAACCTATCATCTTAACACTCAAGGTAATTGGCAAATGGAATTATATTTAAGACAGCTGGGAAAAAAAAAAAAACTCCATCGTTCCACTTTTTTGGCCGATAGTGACATTTCCTTGAATGCATTTCCTTTAAAGGTCTGGTGAGGAAAAAGCAAGCTATGACAACAATAGAAGCACTGTGTTGTTGTACACCTCACAATGAGCCATGAAGTTATCTGTCAGTCTTCACTAATATTGTCAAAATGGGAGCATGATCTCAAGAAATGCAGGCGGACGTTCACTACATCTGTTTCTCAATTTGACGAAAAATATATTTGCTATACACTGTAATGTAGATCTATACATATTGCTTCAACAGTGGTCCATAGAGCAGTGGTTTAATAAATTACAAAACTGTCAGTCAGTAATCCAGATCCAAACTTCCAAATGATCAAGTACTTTGACTGCAGAAAGTGTTTTAACAGAAGGTGTTGGACGGCCGTGGAGGACTCGCTGCAGCACTGCCTGAGATTCGTTGGTGATGCTTCCTTTTATCGTGTGCGATCCAAACACTCTGGAACAAATGCACCTTTAACCTGGGAGGTAATGGAAAATGCAACTCGTGCTACATAAAATGAAATCCCTTCAGAGGAAAAAGAAGCAACCAATAAGTGTGACACATCTCTAAACACAAGATGATGTGATGGGGCCTTTTAAAAACACCCAGCAGGGTTTTGTAGATTTTCTTTAATCCGCCTAAAAATGTTGACAGGGGACTCAGGTTGGAAGCTAAGTCTCAAAATATAAGAGGGTATGGCTCTGTGTATCCCATCAGACCTCCGTGCTGACAAAATCACATCAGGCATCGTCTTTTTGTTGTCGAGGATGTCACACAAACCGCATCAGTTGGCAACTTGACAAAGCGGATGAAGCAGCACAGCCGAAGACGACGTGTCTGACGGCGCTGCTGCTGCTGCTGCTGCTCGTTATCCAATCAGCCTCCTCATCACTGCAGGTCTGGAGAAAGGCCAGCAGTATTCGTTGGGGACAGGCCCGTTGACGTTGCACTCGAAGAAGGAGAACATGGGGAACCAGATGCGAGCTCGTCGGCTCTGCTGGTAGGCCCGGGTGTTGGCTAGAGTGTGGTAGTACAGGAAGAGTCTGGTGGTGATGTAGAAGGCGATGAACACGTCGATGGAGTAGTGTTCATGTGCAGCCAGGATGAAGAAGATGCCGAAGAGATTGAGGACCCAAGACAAAGTGTGAATGAAGTTCCAGCTTCGTGGAGTGTCTGCAGAGAAGAAGACAAAGAGAGCAGCTTTGAATATTTATCTGGATTTATGTTAAACCATCCAAAGACGCTGCACAGTGGCTGACAGCTTCTGTCAGGTTCAGATTAAGGGCATCTCATTTTTACATCGTACTTGTAGTACCGCTGAAGGACACTGGATGGCAGCACAGGGACATGCTTTAACTTTATCCACTGATGTCATAGTTTTTATTAACAGCTTGTAATTTCCTCTCATGATGTTCAGACAGATGAAACCTTCAACATTTTAAAGGTTATCCAGGTCTTTAGAAAGCCACGACCTCTCTGTGTAGTGTGTGTGTACTGGTTTAAGGTCTTATGTCATTAAATATATATATATATACACACACATACACACACACACATGATTCAAAGTATTCTAACATAATCATCTAATGTTAATAATAAGTGTGGCTGTAGACAGTAACTCAAAATGATCAATCAGAAACATATCTCAATTTGTGTAAAAACACTAGTGGATAAACTTTTGCTTTAATTATCCAATCACACAAATTCCCTTCAATCTGTCAAGTAAACATGAAATCTTCATTTATTTGCAGTACTGTTGACTATTGGGGGGTATGTAGGGACTCTAACTCAGTTATCAGAGACCATTTCACCTTCATAAGGACTCAGGCTGCACAATGATGCTGGCATCATCATCATCATCATCATCATCATCATCATCATCATCATTGATAAACGCTTTAAAAATGAATTATCAGCATCGGTCCAGAGTGAACACTGACAGGCTGGTAACACCCGTCAGGCTCAAAGTTTACAGTCCTTGTTTTGGTTTTTAAAAAAGTCACATTATAGTAAATCCACCTTGTCTTACATTTAACTTGAACCCTATGAACCCGAGAACCTGCCAGCAGGGTTGAAAATCTTTCAATTAAAAAAAGATAATATATTTTTTTAAATTGCCACAATTACACCAGAGCTACAAAAGAGTCAAAAATAAAAGCTTGAGAGGACTCCACCCTGTGCTCCACAGAGCAGCCACCAAGCCACCAGTGACTCAGATGTGACCAACAGCCTTGTGACACAAATTCTGACTTTTTTTTTTTTTGCTAAACTTCCGGCTGTTCACACACAGCAGCAAACAAATTAAAAAGCACTAAAATGTCTATATTATGTAGAGTTAACCATTGTTTCCAGTACTGAACCACCTGAGGGCACTCGGGGTTTTGGGGTAAAGTTAATAATAAACTCAACTTTGGGGTTTTCCGATGATTTATGGCATCATAACTTTATTATATTGCAGAAAAGATCTTCCAGGTTCTAAGGTCTACACTGAGACAGTCCAAAACTCTTAAAGTTTCCATCACTCATTCCTGACTGTATGAACTTCCTCCTGGCTCCTTCTGTAAGTATATTTATATATTATTATTTGTCTTTTTCATACTTGTATTTTGCACCGCTGGAGTTGTCTTTTAGTTTTGTTGTACTCTGTGTATAATGACAATAAACATTCTATTCTATGAAGGTGTAGGATCGAACATTGCAGTGAAAAATAAGCCCACATTGAGTGAAACTGCGACCGGAGCACTAAACATCCAGGAAGACAGAAAGAGCCCAAAGACAGACCTGATGCTCTGTGAGACTGGGTAGAAAACACACAGTCGAAACCAGACGTTTACATCCGCTGTATAAGAAGACAGAAAACATTATTTTTCTCACTGTCTGACATTAAATCAGACCAAACGTTTCCTGTTTCAGGTCAGTCAGGATCACCAACATTATTTCTATTTGCTAAACATCAGAATCATGAGAGAGAGCATTTTT